GAGCTGAGCTGATTGAGCTGAGCTGAGCTGATTGAGCTGAGCTGAGCTGATTGAGCTGAGCTGAGCTGAGCTGATTGAGCTGAGCTGAGCTGATTGAGCTGAGCTGAGCGAGCTGAGCTGAGCTGAGCGAGCTGAGCTGAGCTGAGCTGAGCGAGCTGAGCTGAGCGAGCTGAGCTGAGCTGATTGAGCTGAGCTGATTTAGCTGAGCTGAGCTGAGATCCAGTTCTAGTGGGTACACTGGAAGATGATGAGAACGGATAAAAATATACAGGGTGTCCCAAAAGTAAGGTCATCATTTGTTTTGGCCACACTGCCAAAAATACGCGATGGATAGATATAAATAGGACATCATATGAAAGAGCATTTTATAAAATTTTATTCTGACATACATATGAGTCAATACATTGGCTCGTAGCCCCACATTTGCTGCTTTTCTACATGGTTACCATTTCGGGCCGCGTGCATGAATAGACTAAGTTTGACTTCCTCCACTATTCTGGAGCGATTCTCTGGTGAGATGCCGCCTATGTTTGCTCGAAGGGATCATCCTTTAGTTCTTCCCGGCTCGTTGGGTTGTCCTAAAAGACAATCTTTCTGTTGTGTATCCAGAGAATAAAAATATGAAGGTGTAGTAACGTCAGGTGACCGCGGAGGCCATTCAATGGCGTTGCCCTGACTGAAAATTACAGGATCTCACATTCACTCTCGGAGACAATGCATGATCTTCAGGACGGTGCAAGCATAGTCTCCATCCTGCTGAAACCACTGCTGGCTGATGGTGTCGGCACAGCTGCGTTGCGACGAGCGGAAGAACAACTGGGAGGACTCTCGGCCACCTCACTTGATTTATTGTCACCCGATTCCCGCTGTCGTCCTCAGGACCTCGAAGCACAGGTGGCTAAGTATACATGCCCTGTGCGTACATTATACCTTTTTTTCTGACGTTTTACCGGTTGAGGCGAAACTATGCATGAGTTCAGAGATGGGCGAGCTGATAGGGTCTGCTTAGGGCCGAAAACTGGGCGGTATTTACCCTTTGTTTTAATGACGGACCCTCTCTAAGAGTTGAATTTCGACCTTCTCAGTTTTATGCCTACTGCTCGGTGTAGTTATGATCAAAAATGGTTTAAGCATGCAAGAAAATAATTTTATGGATGTACCTTGCACGTGTTAAAATTGGAAGTGATTCGGACTCTTACTTCTCGACATATTTAAGTTTTAAATCATGACCTTACTTTTGGGACACCCGGTAAAACCGAATGCAATGTGCATTGAATATTGATACACTATAAACACTAGAAACATGATAAACTGGAAATAATATTATATACAAACCAAAGACGTCACTAGGTGAAAGGCCATGTAGTTCGACACCGTAAACTGAAGCGATCGGTCGGGAAATCGCTACATTCCTCTATTGCACCCCGTTCGCACCGTTGTAAGCCGTTCGGTTGGTAGGTATCCTTATCCACTGCGGCGTGATGTCCCGACCTGTGTCCCGATGATTCGATGTCCATGACCAATCAGCACACGCATTGCCGTGACGTCATTGGCCGGACCCCGACACGTTACGGAGATATGGGTGGCATTCGGCATTCGGCAATGGGTGGCATTGAATCCCGCGCACCGACGGGGGTCTGCGCCAACTTCGCACCGACGGGGGGGGGGGCGGATGACCGCCCCCCCCCCCCTGAGATCTCGAGAACGAAGCAAGATAGCGACAAGCGGTAAACGGCATCGGATACGCACGGCCAAGATCTACAATTTTTACTAAGGTCATTTTCAGGTCAGGTCAAAGATGACGTCACAGGGGTCGAAAAAGTCAAAATGGCGGCGCTAGATGTGGAGAGAGTTTTTCTCGAATAACTTTCGAATTAGTCAAGATAGGAACAAACTAAGGGCATCATCGTGATCCTCTCGTCAATCCGCATCGAATGATATATATGTTGACCTCGAAAGGTCAAGGTCAAAGGTTGACCTCAGGTCACGTGACCTCGAGGTCATCATGTATATCATTCGATGCGTCTTGACGAGCTGAACACAATGAGACCAACCACGCGTCTGTATCTTGTTCCTGTACGGAGTTATTGGCCAAAAACCTTTGGTGACCTTTGATGACGTCACATGACCTCACAGCTGCCCAACAGCAAAACAGACCTCAAGGTAGTGAAGGTTGATCGTATATGAAGTCATGTATGGTATATGGGGCCATTCCGACCCGTTTTAGTGGTAAAAACAGGGAGTTGATTTTTCCCCCATTGACTTATAATGGGGAGGTCGCGAAATTGACCTGACCTTAAGTCACCGATATCAAAATTCCGAGATACACAAATTGTAGCTACTAATGACCTAATAATATCCTGCGACTTTCAAAGGCCTCCGACATCTACTGTAGCTCTGGCACGGTGACAAAGTTGCAAAAAAGTGACTTGAGGTTGGGTCATTCAAAGTGACCTGGTGACCTGACCCTAAAAGGTAGGAGGTTCAAACTTGCACACCATGTGTAAAATTGATGAGGTTATAGTCATACCAAATTTCGCGGCGCGTAGCGCCGCGGTTTTCCCGCTATTCGCGAAAAACCTCAGGGGGGGGCGGATATCCGCCCCCCCCCGTCGGTGCGCGAGTTAACTGAGCGGAAACTGAGCTGAGCTGAATAGAGCGGGAACTGAGCTGAGCTGAACGGGAACTGAGTTGAGCTGAGCTTAGCTGAGCGGAAACTGAGCTGAGCTGAACTGAGCTGAGCGGAAACTGAGCTGAGCGGAAACTGAGCTGAGCTGAGCGGAAACTGAGCTGAGCTGAGCTGAGCGGAAACTGAGCTGAGCTGAGCTGAGCGGAAACTGAGCTGAGCTGAGCTGAGCGTGAGCGGAGCGCAGCCGGTTTGAGCGGAACGTGAGCTGAGCTGAGCCGCGTTAAACTGAGCGGGAGCTGAGCGGGAGCGGATAAGACGGAGTTGAGCTGAGCGAGCTCACTTTTTTCTTGAGCTGTCACAAGTCTGCTTAACATAAATCAAAGGATGGGAATCACAGTTGGGAACACTGATGTTAGGCCTTCCAATTTTGGAAGCCTTCCAAAAATGGAAGATTTGACCACAGTTTTCCCCACTGGCAAGGCTGGGTAGTGGATCCGTTGTCTCATTCGCAACAAGCTCTGCTTAGCGGGGCACCCGGGCCCATAGCCACTCATTCATCCATTCGGACAAAATTTCTAAAAAACAAAAGTTGATACGTGTATACTCTGTTCCGTTTCAAGCTTGCAGCCGAAGTGCCGTGCTGAAAGCAGTGCGTGATTTCAGCATATACACTATAGGTACAGCTCTTACATTTTAAGACGCAAATTCTTCAGCGGAGGAGCGATCTGCCTGGATCTGCCGAAGAAACTCCGACTGCAAGCTTGATATGGAACAGACTATAGCTGTATCTACGAGTAAGTAGATGTCAGCAGTTGCTGGGTGCTGACTCAGCACCCAGCAATAACAGACGCTACATGAACATAAAAATGAATTGGTTTGTTTTCGCTCGTGAGAAATTCACTGGCGGATCCACGGGGGGAGGGGGTGCATTTGAGGCAAATCCCCCCCTCCCCACCATCACAGCGCCCAAAGTAGACATAAATTTGAGTTTTTTTAGAATAAAAGAAGAACTAAATTTTTGTAATGAAAAGTGTGTTATAAACTGGACAGCAGTCCGCAAGAAATCTATATCCGACGAGTTTTTAGAATTAAGTAAGTTTTTTAGGTAGCTCGCGCAGTGGAAAGGTTCCCAGAACTACGCCCAGTGGAAGGGGGCGGCGAATGTCGCCCGCCGGCCCCAAGTTGTCACTACTTACTACTTAACCCTCGCCCGTATTGGTGTTTTTCCAGCCGCGAACGTATAAGGGGGGGGGGGGTCCGTTGGACCCCCCCCCTTGCCGTTTCGCCCCTGATCGAGCTAGAGCTTCGCGGAAAAAACGAGCGTGTTGCCCGTGACAAGAGGGAGCCGATGATACCCAATTTTAAGGTCCTAGATCATTGGTTGACCTTGCAGGTCAGGTCAATGACCCAAAAGTCGGGAAAATCGGGACCTGTTAGAACGTGGTAAAGTGTGGCTGCTATGGGGTTTTCGGGGTGCTGATCACGAATATCATGTTAGTTTTGATCACAGATGATGTCTTCATGCACTTAGTCCAGGTCGGGTCAGGTCAGGTCAGGTCAACCAGTAGGGGTCCTACCGGGTATTCCTAGTAGGTGTCAACCGCCTCTGACAGCTTCGTAACATGTTACGAAGGCACCAAAACTACTTCGTAAATGTTCATATGGTTGTTAAATTCGAATTCAGCTCCAAAAACTGGCCTAGAAACATGTAAAACTCAAAAAAGTGAACCGAGGTCATCAAAGGTCAATGACCTGACCTGACCTTCAGGTGACCTTGACACCCACTCTAATGCATGGGGGCAACACCATATCACATGTTTGAACGCTTGAAACCACGAAAAGACTGCAAACGCGCCGCTAATGCGAGCCGACATACGCCGAATCGCGATTCTGGCCAAACATGGTCTCGAAAAGTAGGTCACAGGTCAAAGGTCATTGGGGTCAGGGTCATGAAATTTTCAGGGTAGGTGTAAAATTGAATAACGCGAGGGTACCGAAAGTTTCGTCGCGATCGGCCGCTTTTTACGCGAGTTATTCGCGAAAAACCATGGGGGGTCCGTTCGACCCCCCTATACGGGCGAGGGTTAAGCCAGCTTTTCGCGAGAATCTCAGCTTCTAGACGTCCGATCGACACAGGACAGATACCAATCGATCCAAAATGTTATGCCCATTCAGTTTATGGCCTAACGCGACGCGAAGCGAGCCAGTATTTGTAGTTGTTTTTTTTTCTAATATACAAATGTTTTCAATATTTCAACGACTGATGAAAAAGTGGGATAAATCCGACGGAAAAAACTCAGCGTATTGACGTTTTAGGATCTTAGGCCTCTGCCCCTCCCGTAAAAATTCCGTGTATAAGACCCCAGCTCACCTCTGCATGATCTGTGGAAGTCGATGTACTGAGTGACTCGGCCGTCGGCCAAGCCGCACGCCCGAAGAAAGTCGGCGAAACATGGCTCGGCTTCTGCCTCTGGCTCGGACAGCGGCACTGGCTCGGACAGAGTGGCGGCATCGGCGAGCTCGGCCAGGCCGCACAGCTCGGCCCGGTCGTCAAACAGCAGGTGCAGCGAGCGCAGCTCCTCGTCGGTGATGTCGCCGTCCAGCGGCCGTACCGGCAGCGTCTTCACCTGGCGCCGGCGCCGCCTCTGCGCCGGCTCGTGGGCCACTGCGGCCGCCGGCTGCTCGGCCGCCTGGGGGGCGGCCGGCGGCGGCCGGCACGCAGCTGACGCCTCCCGCGTCCCACCGACGTCGGCCTCCTGGTCGCCGCTAATGCAGCACTGAAACGCCGACAGGTCCCATCAAATGCAGCACTGAAACGCCGACAGGTCCCATCAAATGCAGCACTGAAACGCCGACAGGTCCCATCAAATGCAGCACTGAAACGCCGACAGATCCCATCACCAAATCAGCCGGCGCACCGAGCGGCGGCGGCCGCTGCAACTGAACAGGACCGAGCGGCGGCGGCCGCTGCAACTGAACAGGACCGAGCGGCGGCGGCCGCTGCAACTGAACAGGACCGAGCGGCGGCGGCCGCTGCAACTGAACAGGACCGAGCGGCGGCGGCCGCTGCAACTGAACAGGGCTGAGCGGCGGCGGCCGCTGCAACTGAACAGGACCGAGCGGCGCGGCGGTGGCCGCTGCAACTGAACAGGACCGAGCGGCGGCGGCCGCTGCAACTGAACAGGACCCGCCTGCCAGTCGCCCAGGGGCCGTATCGGGTCAGCCCGACAAGGGAACAAGGGAACAAGAATGAAAACAAGGAAACAGGAGACCCCCCGAGTTGCTGGGGGGGGGGGCGTTAAATGTCACAATTTTTTGCCGCGCTATAGCTAAAAAGGGCACGTCGCAGGCAACCCTAATTTTGGCTACCTGTGACGAATACATTTTATATTACAACAGCATAGGAAAAAACAAAATAAAAATCGTTCGTAAGATTTTTGAGATCGAGGTTTTAGTGATGGGATAATTTCAGAGTTTTCGAGAAAAAATGGCATATGTTAAAAATCATATAAAATCACAGAGCAGATGTAGAGACGCATAGGTATAACAGACGTTGGTATGCGTAAGCGCCAGCCGCCCGCAGACAGCCAACACCATGCGTAATGAAATAGCTGTCCTCGATTTTTTTTTATTGTCGTTCTACATTTACCAAATACTTTAACTGAAACTTGGCAATGTCTCGTACCTGACTACCTACTTCACGACCATGATGCATGTATTTCTTAAATTGATATTTTTCGACCAAACCCGTACTCTTATGATAAAATGAATGTCATCATCGTGTTCTACGTCTTAGCTTTCCAGGCGATGGGGGGGGGGCATTTTTTGCCCCCCCCCCCTTTAGTTTTTTTCGATATATCTCCGGAACCGCTGCGCCGATCGTCACCAAACTTTCAGTATCCTCCCGTGAATAGCTTTTGCACATTGTAACCGGAAATTGTTTTCCAAAGGCTATGACAGGTTGGCCGCTAATGACGTCGGAGTGACGTCATTTCTGCCATTTTCGAACCTTCTGAAGCCAGGTCAAGTGGCCCAAGGCACAGGTTCGTTTTTTTTTTTAATAATTTCGCTAAAAATGATCGCAGATCCGCGATTTTAGCAGCATCGTGTTTGTATAGCTCAGGCGTGTCGAATGGTATACTTTTTCTTCGGGTGAGATCAACTTAAGGTGTTAACCTCGGGTCAAGTTCAGGTCACAGCCCGTCAGGTCACGAAGCTGGTCAAAGGAGGTCATATTGCATATCAATCGATTCGGCAGGTCTTTCCATGTCCATTAGTGGCTTTAGCGACTCGGTAGCTTTAGTTGATCGGGAGTTATTGACGAAAAACTGATAGCCTTAGTGACGTGACAAATGACGTCACGCAAGATCAACAAAGCAAAATAGAAGCATCAGACCTTGCAAGGAGCGCATGAAATCACGATTCCGTTTGCTTGAGAATTTGAGATAGTTGTAGACCATTTCCGGACCAAACTAGCAATTTCCATATTCCCCCTGACTTTTATTGGTGAGAGACCGACCTGATCTCAGGCGACCCTTCAGAAAATCCGAATGTTATCAGAATGTTACGGGTCATATGCTAACTTGGGCAGTATGCAAACTACCCAGGCAGTATGCAAACTACCCAACAGCCCGGGCAGTATGCATACCGCCCGGGTAGTATGCATACTACCCGACCCCTTGGGCAGTATGCATACCGCCCAAAAACTTGGGCAGTTTGCATACTGCCCGCTTCTTGTCTTGAAGTTGTGTATTCCATGTCCATTTTAAAAAGTATTAATGGCTCTATAAGTATTGGCCGGTCCCGTAGCTCAGTCGGTAGAGCGTTGGACTCCACGTGGTGAGAGCACGCGTTTCCGGTTATAACAGTCCGGGTTCGAAGCGCGACGGGCGATTGACGTTTAATGAGCCTCCTTACAGATATGACGGTTTGTGGCAGGCCGTAGCCCGTAGCCAAGCGAAGTCAGTGAGAGGACCGGCCGTGCGCGGCTTTGTGCGCACTTTAAACTTTGGACTCCAAATTCTGCCATAGAATCGGCATTGCGCGATCGGAGGGTAGAGGGCAGGGTTACCGCAACAAGCTTCGCTTAGCGGGGGCTCTGTCCCTGTGAATCCTTCCATTCAAAAGGTTCGGACTAAATTTAAAAAAGTAGCGTAGTTTAATCGCGAAGTCTTTTTTGCCGTCAAACGTGATTTATCGATCGAAGAGTGAAATAATGTTTTGAATATAAAGATTTAAAATATTTCCCCAGAATTTCATTGAATTTCATTGCCAGCGGCCAACAAGTCACTTTCATCTGAAATGACGACATATCTATAGTGCCATCACTCGCTGGCTTGGGTTTGACACTTGGACCTGTAGAGGGCGTTATCATAGTTACATGTTACATGAAAATGTTACATGCTAATGTTACATGAAACCATTTACATGTAAGACGTTACAAGTTGTTATGGTCGGGTTACCAGGTCAGGTCAAGTGACCTTACCCCAGAAAAAGTTGGAATGCTCACCATAGCTACACCGACCTAACGATCGCTTTGAAACTTTAAGCGACTAATAAGAGTAACATTAGGTTCAAAAGGCATGTATTTGAATTTTGATATCATACCGATGACTTTTAGGTCAAGTCAATATTGCACAGTCCCTAAAAAGTTGACAGGAGAAAGTTGAAGGACGCCCCTTTTGCTGAACGTCATTCTAAACACTCTCAAACATCGGGTTACATACAGGTAAACATGACGCACTGAATCGAAAAAAAATTGCACTTGTGACCCCTTTTTATGACCATGAGGTCATATCAGGTCATAAAAGGTCTCCAGCAGTTCTTTGACCATTATTTTTTATGGAGACGTGTTGGAGCGATGGTCATGTAAACAACCTTAGATGTGTTCAGTTCGACGATAAGGAGCGGCTGATAAACAACATGACCTTTTCATGTCAGGTCATGACCTTGACCTCAGGTCAAATTTGGAACTCAGATCAACTTTGAGTACTTATTCCAGAAAGCGCTAACAGAGCTATCGAATGCGTCTTTCTGCGGCGCTGTAGCTCTCCTATCTTCCGAGTTATGGGCGAATTTAAAAAAAGAAAAAGAAAAAAAAGAAATTTGATCTTTGATAACCTCTGTTGCCCTACTCTTTGACCTGGCCTTAAAAATGACTACTGTTAAAGGGAGATAATGAGCTTTCTTTTTTCTTAAATAAAAATTACTCGACATCTATACTATTTCTACTGTAGTTTCTATAAAATATGAAAATTTCCTAGCACATTTTCGTATGTGAAAAAGGTTTTTATTTTTGCAAAAAAGAAGCAGTACTTGCAGTACTTGTAACACCCACCGAAATGCGTTGTCCTGCTCTATAAAAAAGTCGCAGTATATGGCGCTTTTGTTTCAAACAGCGACGCTTGGGTTTTTGTTTATGTTATCGCCTTGTCGTTGCTTGGTTGTAAGGATTCTAATTTGAATTAGAGTTAATTCGGTTTAGAATTAATTAGACTCTAATTCGGGGGTATATAGGGGAAGTTGGGGGAACGCCGAAGACTTTTTTTCTGACGCCCGTAGCACGCAAGGTAGACAACATACGCTATTCTTGTTGGCGTCATTCGAGAGGCCAGTCTTTTGCCTTTCAAACATACCAGGCGCATTTGATGAATTCGCATACCGTTAAGCGCACAAACTAAAAATATCAAAGAAGTGACTTTTTCGGCGTTGCCCCGGACTGCGGGGAAAGCCGAAAATGGGAGAAATGATCTACGGGGAATGCCGACATTGATGTTTTGCCATTTTGTCTCAAACTTTATCCAGAATTCATCAAAGCTGACACACGTTTCAAGAGCTTGAGGACGCGGTGCACACTGGAAGTTATAATTGTGTGATATAATAAGAAAATGCCAGGTAAAGCATTCATTATAGGTAACAGGCCGTTGTGTCGGTTGAAAGTGTAATTTGTGTGACTAAAAATACGCGTTGCTATTCTACAGCAGTAAAGTCCACGTAGCGTGCTTTTAACACGTGCGTAATCGCACGTTTTCGGCATTACCCCAGCCAGCCATACTTTCATTTGCAGGCCCATAACTTTTCAACGTGCTGTATAAATTTCAAATAGGCAGCACACTTATGCAAAGACATGCTAAAGATTACTTGACCGAATTGGCCAGACAAACGGTAGCATAATGAGTAAAAAATGCAGCTTCAAAGGCGCATGTAGTACAAGGGAAACGTACCTTGAAAACGCTCTTGGCGCCCTCACAGTCGAAGTATTCCGAATGACGACTCGTAACAAACATGCGATAATTGTAGTCACTTAAGCTTCAGAGCATCACTGACAGGTAGCATCCATGTCTTACGGTTTTCGAAATATCTCGAATTTCGGCTTTGCCCCAACTCCGGCATTGCCCCAACTTCCCCTAGTGCCTACTCTTCTTTGTTTCCAAGTATTATTTTGCGCCACAAATGAACGGCATGCGCCAGAAACGCAGCCAAATCTTGCGATTGCGACTACGAAATTCATTATTTTGGCGTCAGAGCCTGAAGCGAAAAATACAAGCATATTTATTTCAAAAAGACTTCAGGTTTGTCGAACGGTGTTATGAGAATTTTGATAACAGTACTGCATAAGTTTTTCAGTGATGCCGCAAAAGTGTTGTATCTATCTTCTTTTATTGTGCAGTCGGCGGGACCGATTCAAAATTGAGTCGTTGCTACTAAAATAGCAGCATATGGCGTCAGATGATGAACAGGAAAAATAGTTGCGTAAATTTAGACATAAACCACCCCC